GTTTATTGTTTCATTATTAGAATGATGTTTATGTTGTGGAAGCATGCTGAATGGTGTTTGTGAGTTGAAAGGTGCATGGGTCATGGCTTAAGAAATCATATGGTTAGACTCTGGTGAGAGTTGGATTCTTGGAGTAAAGGAATGAGTGAGTGTCAGGGCCTCGGATATAAATGGTCGGGGGCTGATACGTCACTAATGGAGTATCGAGGCCTCGGGTAAAAATGGTGGAGGGTTGATACGAGGAGTCCTTTGGGAGGAAGACTATTGGGGCCTTGGGTATAAATGGTCAAGGGCCAATAGATGGTGAAGTCATCGGGGCCTCGGGTATAAATGGTCTAGGGCCGATGCAACAGTGTCGGGGCTCTGGGTATAAATGGTCAGGGGCCGACTCTACTCGAAGGAGATAACTGTGGGAGGTTAGGATAACTGTGATAAGCGTAGGGGTACTTGTGATGTTAGGGAGACTAGAGGTTGGTTGTTAACGTGCTTCCTGGCTGGGTTGTCACTAAATTTTATGGAATGTGTTTATGTTTAAATGCATGATGTATTGAAAAGCATGACTACGAATGTTTCTTGTTATAGTTGAGTATGATGTGTGTGTGTGGTGAGGGCTACTTACGAAGTATATTTAATATACTCACCCCCCTCTCCCCCTCTACAATGATTGTTTCAGGTGAATGACTCGTGGACGACCATGGTGATGGGACGGAGGAGACATGACGAGCGAGGACCATAGGCTGCTTAGTCACTCTTGCTTAGTTTAAGTTATTAGTTAAGACCTTATGTTATGGTCAATAAACCATTTGTTTATACTTGATTTATTGGGAGGTTCCCACTAGTTGTTAATTTCATTTCGGGATAGGTGCCTATTTTAGTTTTCTTCCATTCGTTGAGTTTTGCCTAGTTGAATAATAAAATTGCCTCGTGAGGTGGCCCACGATTGTTGTTGATCGATATTCTATCTAATTGATGTATTGTTGAATTGATGAAAAGTGGAACTTGATTTTTTTTTATATCTTTGTTGCATAGGGAGTTGACATGACGTATTTGAGGTTAAGTTTAATTAGTTGAGTAGTTAACGTGACCTAGAAGTGTGTGGGAAATTTTGGGGCGTTACAGGTTATGAGAACCCTTCTTCACCTGGTGAACCAAATGCTCTTAAAACACCAAGAGGTGAACCTACGACCAACTAGCCAGTGAAACAAATAATTATGACTCCTAGAGCTTTTCAAACTTTGTTTCACAACATGGTTCAAAAGGGTTGCGTGAAGGTAGCATAATGCTAAAGGAAACAATGTTGGGCAATAGGCATGCTAAGACTTAGTTCATTAGAGATTTGAAACAGTATGATTCACCAACATTGATGAACCTCTAAAAGACCCTCTGCAGTGCTGGGAAGTGGAGCCAAAAACAAGAAAAATTATATATATGATACACAAAAAACTTCTTAGGTTAAAGAGAACACGTTTTGGTTCAAACCTAATTTTGTTTTGTTCTTCACTAAGTCTTATTTGTCGCTTCATTTTTAAAATAAAAGAGAGATGTTTTTCAAGTGATTATTATAGAAGTATTTTTTTTAGGTAGAGTGGCAGCACCTTCGATAAAGAGAAAAAGAAAAATGGAGAAGTGTGGTCTATCATCGTCGGCAGCTCGTTCTCGCGATTCTAGTGTGGTTTTTCATATTATATTCGTAAGTAGCCCTTATCATGGACTTAGAAGCTAGATAGCCATTATTTTGGTATCTAGAGAGCATTGTAAAGCAAAAGTGAGGCCCATTATAATCTTCCTATTATATAGTAGAGCTTGCCATAGTAGAACACTGGACGTAATTTCAAGTTTCGAGCGAAGCAGTATATTTCATGGTGTCAGTTTTCCTATCTCTATCTCATGTTTCCTTTTTTTATTGATTAAACTATGATATATTCCATGAGATGGAAAATTAGTTAGATCAAGCTGGTTGGATAGCTCATATTGGAGAACTATTCATTTTATTTCCCAACATACAGTTCAATGGATAAAACATTGGATAAGTTATTCAAGTACATGAAGTGTGGTGATGATCTTAAGGTTATGACATCTCCTTTCATTCTTCGAGATGAAGCTGACTATTGGTATGATATCAATAAAGATTGTTGACGATCATAATAACCATCCAAGTACTTAAGTTCCTGACACAATCAAGGGTGAAAAGGAGGCTAGGGATAGTTCTTCAAACTCATGCAAGGGAGTATAATTGTAGCTCAAAACGAGCAAAAATTCATTGAACTAGTTCGTTTTGTCACTGATTTGGTTAACACTCAAACAAAGAAGATCAAGAGATTCATTAAGGAGTTTGAATAAGAACATTAAGAGTTTTATATACCTAAATGAACTTGCTACCTACTTTTTCTTCTTCTCCTTGAAGTTACGAAGTCATTTTGTCAAGTTGCCGCAATATTTCTTTCACTCAAGATTGGGTTTCTTTACTAGGTGTTCTGCCAGTGTCTTTCGAAGGAATTCACGTTTGGCATATGCTTGTTATAATCGAGATTTTTGGAGATGATTCTGTACTACAATTTGGTAGGGGCACCCACTTGAGAAGCTAGTCGCTGGAAAGAAAAGAAGCGACAATGAAGCTCAACGCTGCCACGGTCTCATGAACTAAACTTCACCCCACATGTTGTCGCACTTAAAAATAAAAATAATAATATATAAATCAAAAGCCAATTTTCCAAGGAGTTAGGCCGAATCTCCGGCCTGGAAAAGCCCAGTCGGCCTGGGCCTAATCAAGAATCAAAGTTCCCATAATTTTCTCGAGTCTCGAATGTTTCAATCCCTCCATTTTTCTTCCCCATGATTTCTGGGAAGGTTTATCCACCTTACTCCACACCATGGATTTCCCCGCCAACACAGCTTCATCTTCATCTTCGTTCCCCAGTTCCTCTTCTCAAAATCTCCAGTGGACTCAGATTAATTAGCTCTGAATCCATCTCCCTCTCTTTTCCGACCATTTCTGCTTCTAAACCCTGCGCCAAGTCCGTTAGATTTTCGAATTCAGTGGCAAAAGTTTATCGCTATGAGTATGAGGGCCAAAACTCGACTACTTTTTCGGACTTGGAAGACTTGTCCGAGAATGGAGTTGTCTATAAGAAGACATTGGCGATGGTGGAGTGCTCCATGTTCGCTGCACTTAGTGGCTTGGTCTACTTCTTGAGTAATTCACTTGCTCTTGAGGTTTGTTCGCTCTCAGTTTCAACAAATTCGATTAATCCCCCCATTATGCTGCTATTTCGGTGATTTTTTTTTCTATTTTTTAGATAATATTTGTTTTGTTTTTTATGGTTGTTTTCTTTAAATGAGAGGGATGCCCTAAGTTCATGTGGTGTTTGGCTTACTTTGGAAGAATTTTTCTTTATAAACAACATATCTTGGGGTTTGTTTGGTGTTGTCTTAGAACTACCCTTACTAATACGGAAATAAACTGAAGAGAATTCACGTGTGTGTTCTTCCATGAAGTGCAATATTCAATTCGTAGTCCGACTATATATATATATATATATTTTTTTTTGTTTGAGTTTGACACGGGATGGGGAATTCAAACCTCCAAATGGAGTAATTCCTTAACCAATTGAGCTATTCGGCCACTCTAACTAATCCTACTAAAACCTGTTGTCTACAACCAACTAATAGTAAAATAACATAATCCAACAGCATGAATTTCATGTACTAATCAATATGTGGAATGAAGATTAAAACCATCCATTTTCTGTAACAAAGTAAAATGCAGGAAGAGCCTAGTTGAATTGTGAATAAATCAATAAATGCTTAAGAAAACCATTGGGTACCGTATGATGAACAAAAAAACAATCAATCTCGATGTATGTAGCTCTTCCATAAAGAGCTGGATTAGAAATGGCTAGTTTGTTGGTTATCATAATACACGAGATGAGAGAGACAAAAAAATACAAAAATCTTTTATCAACGAGCGATCTCACTAATTCACTATTTAGTTGTAACTTGTAAGTAGTAACAGTAACCAAGTCATAGTCCTCAACTTTTGGTGAATGAGAAACAATCAATTATCTTTTCTCCTTCCAGTATGCAAGAGCATCACTTAGGAAAACACAAAAAACTAGTGACAAAACGATGTGTATCAAGGTAAGCATCCTAATCAACATCCAACAATGCCTAAAGTTGAAAAGAGGAACTGGCTTTCTAAAGAATACTAGGAGTACCCTTAATATCCCGAAGAAAATGTTGAACAAAAGTCATGTGATGGTCTTGAGTTTAGCAACAAAAACAACAAAAGTAATATGAGGATATGAAATTTGAAAATATAACAGCTGCCTAATAAACTTTCTGAAGTGGCTTGTTGGTACTCCAAAGTCTTAATATGATGTAGGATGTGTGATTAATTTGATTTAGTATGTGTGATATATAGTACATGCTATTTCGAAGTACTTCTTCTCTCAAGGTAAACAAAATTGCAGCTTAGAATATTGGGATGAAAAATCCCTGCCTACATCACCATTCAATATTTGTTGGCCCAATATTGGCAATCACAAATAGAAAAGTGGTTAGTCCTTATGCAACTAAAAACAAAGGAAGGAAAGCCATATCTACAATGAAAGAAAGAGAAATAGGGAGCTGCATCTAATGGCTTAATAGGTATAGATTCTTCGAATACAAAGAAATATCTTCATACAAGATTGTTACCATATGAAGAATCAGCTTCAGCTTTGGGTCCATGGTGGGAGACTGAGTTACAACCAAGAAATCCAGTGTCTTCTGTAAACTGCAGACAGTAATAACTCTGAGAAGGCTATATGCCAAGATGAGACCTGAAAATATCCAAAACAAAGGAGAAGTATTAAAGAACCCAAGTCTTGAGTGAAAACTTAAGGCTGAAGGAAAACTTTTACAGCCTTGATAGTATCTGGGCAAGGACCCGTGATGGTAATATCATGATTATCATCAATATAGATCGAAAAGCCACAAGATAACGAGCAACCCCCTTAGTAAAGAGAGAACAATCAGACTTAGGCTTGATAAAACCTTTAGATAGCAGTACTATAGAAAAGTTTGTGAACTGCTTGTTTGAGACTGTAAATAGACTTTATGCCAAAAAAAAAAAAAACAATAATAAAAAAGAAAAAAAAAACAGAGAGAGAGAGTGTGTGTGTAGATAGATTTATTTTATTTACAAAACAGACCATGCACACTCATGAACTTTACATTCAAGAAGCCATGTAAACTTTCTAAAAAAAATCACCATTTTAAAAAACATTCTCAATATCTATTCATGTGTGTGTTTTGCCATAAAGTATGCGTGAGATATATTCAACTCATGGTCTAACTAATCCTGTTAAAACGAATAGCAAAATAACACATATAACAGTATGTGTTGCGTGCACTAATACTTGGGAATAGTTTTTTTTTAAAGTATTTTTTAATAAAAAGATGATATCTTAGCTTAGTTTTATTCATCTTTGTAAATGAATTGTATAATCTAAAAAAATGAAGAAAAAAATGGAAAAAACAAAATAGCTTGTCTGATATTTTTCTTGACATGAATACAAGTTTTATGAAAGTTCTTATACTTTTCCATGCTCATCTGTTCCTTGTAATTTTTTACTTGGTTGAAGAAATTTATGTTTTTGATCAGAAAACCTCTTTCCCGTGATTCTTTGGTTTCAACTTAGATGTCTGCAAATGAAGTTACCTCCTATATTTCTCCATTCTTTAAAAGTAGTTAAATTTCTCAAATTTTAATTTAGTGCTGTTTGTTACTTATTTAATATTGGACAGAATTACTTCGGCTGTTTCTTCTGTCTACCAATTGTAATCTCTTCAATGAGATGGGGCATAGCAGCTGGGAGAAAAACAATGGTCTGTAGCTCTCCATTACAAAATTGTTCAATGATTGGTTTCACGTTATCTTGTTATTTGTACATTTTCTCACTGTATTAATGTAAATGTCTAACTTGTAGCGTATGATCTTCTTTCAAGACAGGTGGCGACATTCTTGCTGCTGCTTATTTTGTCTGGTCCAGTGAAAGCTTTAACCTATCTGGTGAGCATGATTTAACAGTTCATCTTCTTAATCTTAATTGCCTCTAGATTTATTTTCTTGTTTCTGAAATATAAATATCATATAGGATTTAGGAAGATGTTGCTTTATAGCCTATTAACCCTATAAATTTTCTCTTATGTAGAGGAAAACGAGAGCAAAATCAGGTCAATGGCTTTCTTAAACAAGCTTAAGATTTTTTCCCCCTATCCGAGGAATAAGCCTCAATTTAATTAAAATTGCGTTAAGAAAAATCATAAAATAAATATCAAAGTATTACCAAACTTAATTATGTAAAAGAACCAAAAATAAAAATCACTTCTAATGATTGTAACTTTCTTAAATAACGATCCTAAAAATCATTCAAGTATTATTCTTCAATGTTTTTTAGTCCCTGGTGGCAAAAAAAGTACCATTCCATTAACTTCCATACCTTTAAGAGTAAACCGCAAATCTATTCTTCTTTCTTCTAACTATTACATGATGAAGTGCAAAGACTCCAAGCTGCAATGTATTCTCATTGAGGCACCAACCTCATTCATAGGAAGTGAATGCCTCTTACGATCCAAAGAAGGCATGAATTTATAGAAAAAAAGTTTGAGCCTTTCCCCAAAGCAAGTCTCAAAGGCCTTATAAAACCTTATCCTCGGAACATGTTATGAGAACTTATTTCCATGTTCTCCGGGCCTTGAGTTTAATTAAGAAATAGTAGGATATTTAGGCTCTGCTGAATATATGGATATAAATTAATGTAGAGAAAACAAACGATAGAAATTGAATGAGATGAAGAGCAATCGGTGTAGGCTAAAGTTAGAACTACCTATGCTTGAGATTCTGTAATATTCTTTTTCAAAATGAGAAAACTGCTTCATCCATCTCTACCTGCAGCATAAAACTAGGGTTGCAAATGACTGGCCTAAAACCAAAGACCAAAAGAGACTTTAAAACAACAAAAACTAAAGACAACAGCAAAAACTGAAGACAACAGAAAATACAGAAAGAGGCCCAAACCTTAAGGCCCTGTCTGGAAAATAAGAAACAACATAACAAAATAACTCAAAACCTAGATCTTTCATAAAATACTCTATCATAAACACTGATTGTTTTGCTGCATAAACTACCATCAGTTTCGGGCGTTTTGTTCATTATTGTTTTGAGTTATTAATATTCTGGAGAAATTGGCATTAGCAAATTATGATTAGTGGATGGTAGAATTATAAATAGCATAGGGCTTAGAGGGAATGAGTTCAAACCATGGTGGTCATCTACCTAGGATTTAACATCCTACGAGTTACCTTGGCAACCAAATGTAGTAGGGTCAGGTGGTTGTCCCATGAGATTAGTCGAGGTACGCGCAAGCTGGCTTGGACACTCACGGATATAAAAAAAAAAAAATATCTGTTAGCCCGTGACTTTTATTTGCATATGTGCAAAATGTTGGTTTTGAGATAAAATGTTTTCCTCTTCAACTATACTGGCCTGCTTGACATTGCTGCATTTCTTAGTATTCATAGATATTCTCATGAGACTGTTTTTGTGGCCTCACCTTGAAGTGCCATTTTTAGATCTTCATGTAATTTTTGTTTCTACCATTTGTGCCAATTTGAGAGTGTTTGTGTATCCTTTTTGGCTTGATATTTTCTATTTTTGTGTATTTTCAATATATCTTTAGATGTTCCTTAATCCTTATCTTATTGAAAGAAAACAAAAGAAAAAAGAAACTTGTATTCAATTGTTCACCTTCTTCAGCAGAATACCTGAGTTTGTTTTATGCTTTCTTGTGCAGCTTAAGCATGGTTTAGTGGGGTTGACAATGGGCTCCTTGTGGAGGTAGGTGATTCACTATGCATTCTACTACCCATAAATCTTTAATTAACCTTGATTTAGGCATAGGACATTGAGGATTCATAAAGTTTTTTTAAATCTCTATATGCTAGTGGACAATTTTCTTCTGGTATACCAAAGGTATGGAGTTACTATTCTAATCTCAATGTACCTTTACTTCAATTGTGCGCTTTGAAACTTATTCTGAAAAGATAAGAAGATAATAATAATAATAAATAACATTAAGAAAAGTAATGAAGAATTCTTCACATTGGACTATTTTAGGAAAATTGACCGAAATAACCTAAAAAGGTTTTCACTTTGCTCAAATGACCTTGTTTGAAAACTTACTTTTCTAACCTAAATCAACTTTTTCTGACATGCCAATCGAGATGAATTTACCGTATTACCCTCACTTTTTGAAAAAATGAGGTGACAGAACTCGGGCAAGTTTGAAGACTACTCGCCTGGGTTTTTTCTACAAAAAGCACATTTAATGGCACCACTAACAAACCATAACCTGGTTACTTGCCCAGATTAAACTCGCCCGGGGTACAATAAATTCCAGAATTTATTGCTCACCAACTTCTACCTACGAAAGTATTAACTTGTACCCACAAATTTGTATTTTTCCATTATTATTTAAGAGAACAAAAATTCTGAACGTGAATGCCTTGAATGTTCCCTTTTGCAAAAACCACTGTTTACAAAGCCACTGTTTTTTTGTTTGGCCTAAAACCTGCCCAAGTTCGTCCCAAGTAAAAGTTGTGCAAAAAGTTGTGCAAAAACAAACTTGTGCAAAAACCACGGTCTGACAAAGCCACTGTTTTTTTTTCATCGGCCTAAAACTTGCCGAAGTTCGTGCTCAAGTAAATGACACGTTCAGCAAACTTGTGCAAAAACTTGGGGGCGTGTCTCCCAAGTTTTCGTGCACGTTATCATTTTGCACCATGACTTGTGCAAAAACACGTGCAAGTTGCCACATTCTTGCCTCTGTAACATTCTCCAAGCTAACAAGTGGCCAAGTTTGAGGCCGGGGAAACATGCAGATTCAACGAAAATGAGCAACTTCGCATGGGTTTTGCCCAAATTTTTTGGCAAAATTGTTCTTAAAATAATTTGCCGGAGAAGAAGTCGAACAAACGAAGACAAAACAGAACAAATTTCAAAACAGAGTGCCAACACTGAGTCCCGTGAAGCGAATTTTTTACCTTTCAAAAAAATAATCTCAGTTTTTTTGGATGAAGGGTTCGAATCAATGGTTCCCCTCGGCACTCATATCATATATGCAATTGATTTTACAAAATGGAAGTGAGGAAAATGTTCTATTGAAAAAATGGAAGTGGAGAAGAGAAGAGATGAGAAGTTTGAGAATGCAAGATAAATAAATGGGAGAGGGAAGAGAAGAGAAGGGAGAAGGCCAACGGTTCTTTTTTTACATAAGGGACATCATTGTAATTTTGTATTTCTTTTAATTAAATAAAATATTGATTTAGGTTAGAAAAAGAAGTTTTGAAAGCTTAGGTCATTTGAGCAAAGTGGAAAACTTTTTGGGTCAATTTTGTTAATTTCTCATTTTTCTACTTGCCTTTGGAAAAAAATTGCCATTAGATAGATTTCCTTCATCTAACTACGGATAAAATCTTGGAGAAACAAGTTTAACGGCATCCTATTCCTATAGGAGAAGATGGCCATTATGATGACTGCTTCTGGTTTTCTATCTCAGGCTTGGAGCAAATTGGAGTATTTCGATCTTCCTGTGCACAATCGTACTGTTTCCTCTCTTTTCCAACACCCATTTGAACAAATGATTTATCCCAGTTGTTTATCAATTCGACTAACTGAGGACATGACTGTGTGTTTAGGTTCGGGCACTCGGGGCAGTGGGGTATGTCTTAACATCTTCATTCTTGATAAGAGAAAACATACTAGCTCTGGTAACTAGTTATTTCCTTAATTCTGTTGCCATGCTTCAAAGAAATCACCTCTGAAGTCTTAGTCTGAAACACTTCTCCATTTTCTTGCAGATCACTATTAATATTCATGCTTCCCTCACCCTTATCTTGACTGCCTGGGGTGTAAACTTGATTCCATCAATGAGTGCAATATATGCTATCTTTGGGACGCTGGTATGTTTAATATTCCCCGCCTCCACGAGAAATTCTTTTAATGAAGCTGGTGCAATGTAGCTTGTACTTGTATGGCATGTAGTAGAAAGATTAAATTAATATTAATTTGGTTAAATTACAATTCATAAACTCTCAAAGTTGTGTCTTATAAGTCTCTGAACATTAAAAAGTGTTTAGTAAGTTCTTAAACTTTCAACGATTCTATCTTTTGAAAATTAGGGATGTATAAGACATATGATAGAAAAGTTGTGAATTTATTAGACACAAAATTAACTGAATTTTTAAAAATGTCTAAATATGCTAGAGACCACCTATCAGACACAAAATTGAAAATATTGGAATCTCCTAAAAATTTAAGTTTTTATGTTTCTTATCAAAATAAAATTAAAGTTTAGGAAGCTATTAGACCCAACTTGTAATTTAACATATTTATTTTAACTTTTATTGGTTAAGCACAAACAACACTGTGCTGGACTTGTTTCGTAATTTATTCCTGCTCTCTTTGTATCCTGAAAGGTATTGCTGAACTCGGGATGCTTCATGTTTTTGCTCCACCTTTTGTACTCCATATTCCTTACCAGACTTGGCCTGAAGACTTCATTGACATTGCCAAGGTGGCTGGATAAGGCGATGTAAATATAAAACGGGTATTAATTATTTTCATGATGAAAATTTGCCATTTATTCTCTCTTTTTTCTGGGGGAGGGAGGAAAGGAGGAAGATAGCTTAGGCTCAATGGAATGTTTCATTTGCACCCAATATTTTCGAGCCCATTGGCCAGAAGGTACAGATTGTTTTTAATATGTTATTATGTTCTAGTTTCTATATTTCTATGCTGTCTGTGAAAAATGCTGGGCGATTTATTCTTATGTGT